GGGAACGTCTCTAAAATACAAACTACTGTCATCACAATAAGCTCTCAGGGTCCTTTCAAGGCTCAGAACACAATAAAAGTGAGTAGCGCCAGTCCTGTACAGTAGATTACAATGGCCAGATCTGTTTAAATCTTATTTAGGAGTTTTGTATTCTGTCCTTTGCCAGTGGGCCTCAGAGTGGTTTATATCAACAAATATATATTTAAGAAATACAACAGAATACAAATAAAATATAATTCCAGCCTTCAGAACAGAATACAAATAAAATAAAACTCCAGCCTTCAGAAAAAAAGGAAGCTTTAAGTTCACAAATTGTATAAAATCCGGCTGCTGAGAGTCTTGGCCTGATCAGCAGATCAGTATGTGATTACATTTGTTTCTTTGGACTGGGGGAGCGGGAATTATGTTAATTTTGAAATGTTTGTTTTCTAAATCTACCCCCCTTTTTAAACCATTGAAACCCTACTTCTGCTCCCCTCTGTCTTTGGTTGCTCCCTTGTCTGTTGACAATTCCTTCTAATTGTACAGGGCATTTACATGAAAACAGGATCCTTGTTGCTTAGGATTTAATCTGCTCCTGCTGCTTATTCTCCATCCCAACTTCCCAAGAGATTGGTTACTTAGGTAGCAGGCCAGCAAAAAGGCCTGGGTTGGGTTGGGGGCAGGAAGCAGCAGCTCCTTTTAAACTTAAACCGAGTCTTTGCCGCTGAGTTGTAAGTGTGTGTGCTTTGGGTCCTCTGTGTCCAATCTACCTGCTCCTGGAATAACAGGGAGGAAGAACCTTGGTCTCCTTATCTGGCAGTTGCGTAAGTAAATCCCTCCCCACCTCCAAAAAGTAAACAATTGGAGAGGAATGCTCATAAATCTGCTTCTTAACTGTTCTTTTTAAAAACTCTGGGAGCGTCACATTCCAATCCAGTGTCCGTAGGCTAGTCGTCTCCCCCCCCCTTTTTTTTTTTGGAGACAAGAAGTCTTCAAGCATTGGGTTTCAAACACCAAAGGTTACACACATTCTGAAAAGGGGGAGGCATAAGAGAGATTGCAGGACCACGTTGTTGTGCGGTGGATACTGGAATCTTAATTGGCCACATTCATGCCATACCTTTAAAGCACCATGATGCAATTCTCTTTAAGCATGGCTTCCACCCAAAGAATTATGGGAATTGTTAAGGGGGCTGAGAGTGGTCAGGAAGCTCTCAATTCCTTACGGAGAGGTGCAGTTCTCAGAGTTCCCTGTGAATCGGAAAATTGTAGCTCATTAAGAGGGGGTAGGGGTCCCATAATAGTGCTCAATGCTCTTAACAAAACACATCTCCCAGAAGTCTGTGAGGGAAGTTCTTCAGATGTATTGTGTGAATGTGGCCTTTTAATTGTGTGTTGCAAAAGGATTCTAGCCCTGAGGCTAAGGTGCCATTGCTTTGGTGTTGGGAGTACAGTGGTAGCGCAAGGAGAAAGGGTACATATATTGTATGCTGTGTTGATGTTTTCCCATGGCAGGTGTCAGGAACCTACAACATCCTCCCTGGCCATTGGCTGTACTTCCTGGGGGCTGATGGGAGTTGTTGTTGAGCAGAAATTGGGAGGGGCAGAGGTTCCCCCCTCTTCCCCTAGGCTTAGAGAAAGCAATAATGTGACAGGTGGAGCATTGGTGGATGTTTATAATAACAAGGCCCTATGAGGGACTGGACCACGTAAAACAAAGCAAAAGGTTGCTTTTTAGGTGTTTGGCTGAAGTTGAGATGGAGGGTAAGCTTCAACCTAACACCATGTGTCTTCCAAAGCTAAGAAGCTGCCTGATGCCAAGTCAGATTATTTGTCCGTCTAGGCCAGGCTTCCTCAACCTTGGCCCTCCAGAAGTTTTGAGACTACAATTCCCACCATCCCTGACCACTGGTCCTGCTAGCTAGGGCTCATGGGAGTTGTAGGCCAAAAACATCTGGAGGGCCAAGGTTGAGGAATCCTGGTCTAGGCCAAATGGTGGCCCTCTGGATAGTGTTGCTGTACTACAAATCCCATCAACCCTAAGCAGCATAGCGAATGGTCAGAGATTATGGGAGCTGCAGCCTAACAGAATCACTCAATTTAGCCACCCTGCTGTAGGCTGATACTGTCTCCACTGGCAGAAGCTTTTGGCAGAGGTAGTTCCCATCACCTTTTTGTTTGAACTGGAGATGCCAGCGCATCATTCATCATTATTGCTCAGGGCACATTGGGGTTTTCCAGAGGAGCAGCTCTGGAAGTGGCATTGATTGGACACAGAAATTCAGCTTATTATAAGTTTGTAAAACTTACGCCGAGGTGCACTGTGTGGGTAATGACTGCTAAAATCCTAGAAGTCAAAGAGGGAGCTGAATAATATTTCCATTGCGTCTGCTGTTTGCATAGGTATCCTAGCCCTCCTCTTTGTGCACCCATGACTATTAAAGACTGAATAAATTATTTAAAACTCTTAAGAATTGCTGATTTGCATAGTTTTATACAGGGTTCAAAATTCAGATAATTCAGACATAATTTGATCTGCTTGGCCACAGTTATTTTAATCATCGTTAGAATTTGCTTTCTGTTGAGAGACGTTACAACAGCTGCTACTTCTGGCTTAGTCAAATTGCTAATTGCTTATAAGCTTTACCTAATAAATCCCCTTTGTGGCATGGTAATTTATAAGAGATCACTCATGGTAATGGAGTGTTTCTTTCTTACTGCATACTTAACAAATAGGGTGGCGGCAGCGTTCGAAATTCACCAGGCGCCAGGCACATTTTGCATCTGTCTGTAAACCACTTGGAACCAAGTAAAGATGCCCGGAAGTGATGCGGGTGGCGTTGTGGGTTAAACCACAGAGCCTAGGACTTGCCGATCAGAAGGTCGGCGGTTCGAATCCCCGCGACGGGGTGAGCTCCCGTTGCTCGGTCCCTGCTCCTGCCAACCTAGCAGTTTGAAAGCACGTCAAAGTGCAAGTAGATAAATAGGTACCACTCCGGGGGGAAGGTAAATGGTGTTTCCGTGCGCTGCTCTGGTTTGCCATGCTGGCCCTGTGACCCGGAAAAACTGTCTGTGGACAAACGTCGGCTCCCTTGGCCAATAAAGCGAGATGAGCACCGCAACCCCAGAGTCGGTCACGACTGGACCTAATGGTCAGGGGTCCCTTTACCTTTAATGATGCCCGGGCGCTAGGATGGCTCCTGACATCGTTACTGTCTGTAGGTGCATGCCTGGGGATCCTTGGATCATGACTGTTTTCACACACTAGCAACACATCCTGTAGACTTCTATCAGTTATACCTTATCTGCACAATCAGAATGCATTTCAGGAAACAAAAAGTCCTATTGAAAAATACGGCTTTCGAGCCATCTGGCTCTGAGATGGCAACTTGGCATTCTGTTGTGGTGACTGCAGCCCTGGTTTAAGGAGCTACTTGGCGCCTTGCTTATATCTCCTGAGTTTCTAACACTGGGTGGGGGAAAGAGAAGTTATTGTGTCTGGGAGATATGAAACTGAACCATAGTATCAGGATTTGGCTCTGGGGCTGAGTAGTTCCTTCTGCCTTCTTTTCATTCTTGTGAAATCACCCCATCCCACCTCCTCTGATTCACCTCTACCTTGATTTGATACTACATAGGACTAATTGCTAACCTTGCTTCAGAGCAGGTTTCCTCAAACTTGGCCCTCCAGATGTTTTTGAGACTACAATTCCCATCATCCCTGACCACTGGTCCTGCCAGCTAGGGATCATGGGAGTTGTAGGCAAAAAAAAATTTGGAGAGCCGAGTTTGAGGAAGCCTGCTTTAGAGCATCCCTAAAACCTAAGTTCATTTTGATTCTGCTCTGAATTCTGAAACCCTGAGTCTAGATTTATATTTGCATGGCATTGTTGACATCCATCTGCACTCCACTGTCTCTCGAGGCACTCCCCAAAGTGCAAGGCTGGACAGTGTGTAATCCTGGGCTGCCCAGATAAGACCCCTCTTCTGCCTTGCTGATGTGGTCCAATGGAAAGCAAGAGCAGTACATTTAGCACCAGTTATGCCAAGCTAACTCACTTGTAGCTGTTGCTGCCCCTTGACCAAGTTCTCATTGTTAGTGGTAAATCCCTGCCTGGAGCTGTGCTCACCTGGTTGAAGAGGGCCCTTCCATGTGAAAAGGTTCCTTGCACATAGAAACCTAGTGTGTCAGGGATTCTGTCACGATAGTTTTCTATTCGGAGGCAATTTTGTGTGTGCAGAGGAGCAGTTCGTGTGAGTCCTTCCTGCAAAATGTGCAGCCAGAAGTAGTAAGCTCAGTCAAGGCTGGGGCGTTTGTATGCATTTACCAATTCGGTGAGAATTTCCCTCAGGAAACATTTAAAACTGTCTCACAGCGCTTTCCCTTCAAATTTTGATTAGGTCTTAATTTACAGTTAAAGGTGATTAAAATATCTGGGGCAGATTTTATTGCATGAGAATTACTGTTGGGTAAAGTTGAATGGTGGGTTTGTACCCTTTTCGCTTTCAGAAAGTTCTTGCGATTGTCCCTTTAAAAATAAATAATTGATATATCTTTATGTCACCAAAAAGCAGCAGCCACAAATGCAAGTGTTGCCAAACTTCAAGGTTTGCAGAAGTACAAAATACCTTAGAACAACAACAACAACGACTTCCAGGTTATATTTATAAATAAATTAAATCTTTTAAAAAATATTTCTACCTCAACCCTAATAATAATAATAATAATAATAATAATAATAATAGATTTCCCCCTAGGGAATATGAATTAAACAACCCAACTTTCGTTCTTTGTGTGTGTGTGTGTGTTGTGTGTGTGTATGTTTAATCTTAATTTTCATTCTGTTTTGTTTTTCTATCTTCTTATGTGCTAATAAAGTGAATGTTTTGTTTAAATACAAAGATGTTGAATTAATAAAGGATCAACATATATGCCAAACAGTTAAATAGACTAGTCATTGTATTGTTGGTAAGTTCCATGTTTTCTGCTTATGCACAATGTTTTCTCTTTTCTCTAGGGCTCTGCCATCATTTATGGTGATCTGCTGTGCCTGATTCTTGGGGTTTGGCAGAAGTTGCTGGAGCTTGCATGCTGCTTCATGCAGTTACAGTAAGTTAAAAAACCACACACATAATAATCTGTACCTTTTTATGGAGATTTCCAGAATGCTAAACTAGATAGCCTGTTGTCTGACCCCACAGGTCTCTTACATTCTCAGATGCTCATGCTGTAATGGATGTAATGAGCTGGGATCCAAAGTTGTGTCCAAGGGGATTACACAGGGAATGCAAGTCCTGTTCAAAGTAGACCCATTGAGTCAGATTCAACCAAGTTGCTATGCAGGTCCCACTACCGCAGCTGCACATTTCTCCCCCTGCCTCTCCCCAAATGCTTGGAAGTATCAGGAAAATCCCCCAGAACAGAATTGGGGGTGAGGAGGGAGAACAAAACACACACACACACACACACACACACACACACAACACAAGAGGCTGCTGGATCAGGCCAATGGCCCATCTAGTCCAGGATCCTGTTCTCACAATGGCCACTCAGATGCCTGGGGAATAAATCTTCAAGCACAACAGCCCTCAGCCCTCTGTGGTTTCTAGCAAACTGGTGTTCAGAAGCATTACTGCCTGTGAAAAGAAGCATTGTCTGCCTGTGAAAGAAGGGAGATTGTTTTGTCTGGTGAGCAGAAATGCTTATGCTGATGGAATGATCTCCTTAGTAAGCTTTTAAAAATTTATTGTGACACCAACTTCCACCTAAAGAAATAAAGCAACGTGGCTTAATTTAGGTCCATTCATTTCAATGTGTCTGCTGTAACTTGGATACAGCCCATTGACTTTGACATGCTCAGTGTTGATTTTTGGCTCTTGAGCAGCAGAACAGCTGGATCACACATTGCTTTGGGAAGCCCCTCCTCCCCGCCGTGTGTCTGAAAAATCTTTTGTTGTGTGACATTGGGGGGACTATTATCAATGCCAAGCCTAAAGCACACCCCCACCCCAGGTGTATGGAAATTGCACGACTCCATCAGGCCCCATCTCCAGTCTCTTGGAAGCCCACTTCCACCAGAAGAGGGGATGGCCAACAGCTCAGATGGCTTAAAAGACAAATTCAGTGACTACTAGCCAGGATTGCTTTGCATGACCCCCAGTGTTGGAGGGAGAGTGCCACTGAATAACAGTTGCTTGCATTCTGCTTGCAGATTTCCCGTAGGTATCTGGTTGGCCACTGCGAGAATATGATGCAAGACTGAATGGACCATTGGTCAGATCCAGCAGGGCTGCTCTTAAGTACCATATTTTTCGCTCCCTAAGACACACTTTTTCCCTCCTAAAAAGTGACGGGGAAATGTGTGTGCTCCGTGCGGCTCTTGCGGGCTTTTCCCCAGGAGGGAGAAGGGACTGACACGGCCAGTCAGTCCCTTCTCCCTCCTCGTAGAAAAGCCCACAGGAACCGCACGCTCCTTAAAGGGTGCGCGGCTCCTGTGGGCTTTTGCGGGAGGTGAGGGTATTGCCATAGCCGTGCGAAGCCCCTCCTGCCAGGAGAGGCTGCGCGCGGCTATGGCTTCTTCCTGTCCACTGCTCTTTGGGGCTTGGGGGGGGGGATAAGATTTTTTTTCTTGATTTCCCCCTCTAAAAACTAGGTGCGCCTTATGGGCCGGTGTGTCTTATGGAGCGAAAAATACGGTACTTAGTTTTCCAGGTGTGGCAAGATAAATCTTGCTTCAATGCACTCAATGTAGCTAATCCTTGTGAATTTGCACTTTGAAATACTTGTTACTGCTTTACACAAAAAACAAAACCCTGCAGTTTTCCAAAAAGCATTTAAACAGAACAGAAGTATGTTATTGCGTTGGATGTTAGCTTTGGAATATTTTGCCCCTGCCTGTACCTTATTTCACCCACCACCGACCACATTGCTGGGCCAAAAGTGGAATCGGTTAGTTGGTTTTCCAGCCTGTCTGACCTCTGCTTATTTCAGCTAAAACCACTTCCTCCCCCCTATTTCTTAAGTGTTGAGTGGGAGGGAATGTTTATAGAGGGAGAACAGTGAGATAAATGCACACATACTCCCATAATCTCATACGTGCACCTCATTCTCCATGTGCTTATGTCTTCAAACAGCACCACTCACACACACAAAATCGAGGTACAGTGGTACCTTGGTTTAAGAACAGCTTAGTTTATGAACAACTTGGATTAAGAACGCTGCAAACCTGGAAGTAGGTGTTTTGGTTTGTGAACTTTGCCTTTGAAGCAGAACATATTCTGCTTCCTGTTGAGTGTGTTCCATTTGAAAAATGAGTCCCCCGCTGCTATGGGAAAGCACGCCTTGGTTTAAGAATGCTTTGGTTTAAGAATGGACTTCCGGAACGGATTGTGTTCGTAAACCAAGGTACCGCTGTACCGAAGTGCGGAACACGTTAGAACAGAAAACCAGAAATGTTGGTGCTCAAGATGGAGAATCCAAATGGTGCCTTTTCTCTCTATGGATATAGTTCTCAGAGTGGTTGAGTAGTCAGTCCCTCTTCGCAGGGAACTCTGGGAACTGTAGCTCTGTGAGGGGAATAGAGTGTCTCTTAACAGCTCGCAGCAACTGTAACAAACTGCAGTTCCCCAAAATGCCATGATACTGTTTTCAGAGTGGTACCTCGGGTTAAGTACTTAATTCGTTCCAAAGGTCCGTTCTTAACCTGAAACTGTCCTTAACCAGAAGCACCACTTTAGCTGATGAGGCCTCCTGCTGCCGCCACGCTGCCGGAGCACAATTTCTGTTCTCATCCCGAAGCAAAGTTCTTAACCTGAAGCACTATTTCTGGGTTAGCGGAGTCTGTAACCTGAAGCGTATGTAACCCGAGGTACCACTGTATAGTGCAAACGATCTCTGGTACAGCATTACTGGGGCTTCCCAGTTGGAACATATCACAACAAACACTTGGTGCGGCTGTATTCTGAACAAGACGGAAGTTGTTTAGTTGTCTTAAGCAACTATTGAGTTGCTGCTTTATTTTCCAATTTGAAAGCAGATAGAACAAGGCTATGTTTGGAAAGGGCCACTGCATAAAAATAGTCACAGAATAGAGTTATCTAGCTTTGGCTTTCAGTTCCGCATACCTTTCTAAAAAGTAGATTGAGTCATCGCGGGCAGGCAATTGTGTATTCTCCGTTCAGCTATGTGCATCAATACTTGTGGTAAAACAGTGAGCATTGTGTTACAGATTCTGGACAAGGGAAAGAGGCTTATGACGAGGGTGAGCTCAGTCAGTATTATTAGAGCCAGCTGATAATCCTTTTACACACCCGTTACCGCATCGACAATATTTCTGCTTTATCCGAAACGAGAGTGCAGAAAGGGCGAGAATGGTGAGTGGCAGACAGTTGCTTCCTGGCAGGGTTTCTAAAATGGTCTTTGTGGGAGTGGGGTCTTTTGCAGAGTGGACAGAAGTGGAATGGAGGAGAGGAGCAAGACGCCTGGATTCAAAGAGGAGGAAAGCTGTTGCTGTCCTCCCTTCCCTCAGAGGATGGCCAATAAGATGTCTATAGGGGTTATTTACTTCTCGTCCCTGTTTTGTCTGCTTCCAGCACTTCCTTGGATGAGGGAGCTGGAGGCTGCATTTCTAGGAATTTTGAGTGAGGCGTGTTGAAAACTTTGCAACATTTCTTCCTGGAACCACTTTGAGCTATTTGCAGAAAGATTATTTTTAGGCGCAGGGGAAGCTGCCTTTGTACTGACCATTGGTCCATCTTGCTCAGTAGGTTCGCAGCAGTTGGCAGCAGATCTCCAGGATTGGGAGATGCCAGGGACCTTCTGAATGCAAAGTGAATCCTCTACCCTCTGAGCTTTAGCTCTTCTCTTTAAAGTTCTCGTTCTCTCACCCCACCCTCCAGTTGTTGTTGTTTTTAAAACTGATTTGCTTAGGAATTCCTATCTGCTTCTGTACCAGTCTTGCAATTCTGGAGGTGCTGGTCCTGTTAGTTGTGATGAGGCAGCAACCAGTCACTGTGGCTATTAATGACTTGAGTGGACAAATGTTCTCATGCAGTATAAAGCAGTTTCCTATATTCACATGTTCCTAAGAAGTACCGTATTTTTCGCTCCATTCTGCCCTGCCTGTCCGTGAGAGGGGGTTACCTCTTGTAAAAGTGCACATTCTACCTATGTGTTTTTTATGTTAAGATTTGTTTGATACAAGTCATTTTTAAAGCCACCTTCCTGATTTTAATTAGTCAACCCGATTGTTGCAGCCCTAGTTGGTACCTTGCACAGAGGAGATGAAATAGGGTTGCGAAATCATAGCAGTGATGCTGTATGGGTTCATGAAGTGTCACTGTTGGGTGAAATGGAGCTAAGGAATTGCAGGAGAGGGCTTGTGCATGCACAGTTATGTGTGCTCACTAAGATGTGCTGAGCATCACTGAGAAGAGAGGTAGGCTAGAGTGCTGGGGAATCCAGTGTGGTGTAGTGGTTAAGAGCAGTAGACTCGTAATCTGGTGAACCGGGTTCGTGTTTCCGCTCATCCACATTCAGCTGCTGGGTGACCTTGGGCTAGTCACACTTCTCTGAAGTCTCTCAGCCCCACTCACCTCACAGAGTGTTTGTTGTGGGGGAGGAAGGGAAAGGAGAATGTTAGCCGCTTTGAGACTCCTTCAGGTAGTGATAAAGCGGGATATCAAATCCAAACTACTACTACTACTACTACTTCTTCTTCTTCTTCTTCTTCTTCTTCTTCTTCTTCTTCTTCTTCTTCTTCTTCTTCTTCTTCTTCTTCACTTGTCTTTTCTAAGTACTGTATAATCCAGTTTCAGCCCAGACCAACTCCTGTTGTATCTGCTGCCTGGCTACATTCTGGGTGGTGCAGTGCAATTCCCTTTGCGGGAGACAGGATACTGCTGGGGAACATACCCTGGTGCTCTGTGAGTGTTGCACGGAGCACATCTTAAGAGTTGACAGCTCTCATCAGGAAGCCAGAAACTCAGGTTGCAATTTAAACACGGAAGAGATCAGTTTGTGGAGCTCCTCTCGAAACAGTTCTAAAGAAGGCACAGGCGTGCCTTGCTTTTAACTTTAGTGCAGCCTTTTTGTAAAAACATTGTCTGCTT